AATATGTTTTGGTTATAAATAGTATGGACTTCTTAGGCACAGACAGTAAATTAGCAGAATTGCTAAGCCAGGGCCTTCCGCAGTCCCAAGTTTTGCTTGGAGGAAATTCCTGGAGTTCGCCTGGGCGGTGGTTTCCAGAGACGCAAAGGAGCTGCTGGGCTGGACGGCTCTTTTGCAGGGTTAGAAGCAGGCGTTCCTTCCTCTGGGGGCCAGGCTGTCAGAGCCCATCTTCCTCAGCTGGGCTGACATGAGTTGTTTTTCCGATAGGGTGTTACTTACTATTCAGGACTCATTCCAGTTTGGAGATGTTCATTTTTTAAAAATCAGCAGCTCAGGTTACATTTTGGTAAATATGACCTATTTTCCTTTTTAAATTTAAGCAGATCACACTTTAAAAAGTTTAATTTATATAAAAGAAATCCAAGGAAGGAAATGCTACCTCGCCCCCAGCTGAAGGCTCAATATCAGAATATCTGGAGTCACAAACAAGGTCTCCCACTCCCTGGGCCTGGCCAGGTGGGACGTTGGGAAAGGAGGCAGCACAGTCTTGTGGGAAATATTTGAGTGCTTTCCAGGTGTGTCCGAAGTCCGTGGATCGCTCCACTAACATTGCAGCAGGCCGAAAAGTCTATGAAAATAACAGTAAGACTTGTAAAGGACCACACAGCCAATGTTACCGTCTGTTTCAGATTGAATATTTTCATTTTATAATTCCATTCGTAAACTTTCAGTACATCCTCTAAAATCACTATAAGTCACTGTACAATAACCACAGCTAGATCTTACTGCAACAAATGGGTGAGAATTTACAAGTATATACTTTGTTCTCAAAATCCAATTACCTTTTTGAAATTATTATGGCTGTGTGATTTAGTCACTGAAGAAAGGTGGCATATAAATAAAAAAGCTAATGTAATGAATATTTCATCCCAGGTTGCTGGTTTCTCTTTGCCAAGGATGCTTTTCTATAGGCAAATTGTTCTATATCCATCGAGACTATTCATCCTGATTCCCTGGAGAATATGCCTCTTCTTCAATTAAGTTTCCTAGCTTTCCAATCACACCCCTATTTCTGAACTTATCACTTTATATTATAATTTTCTGCTTCTGCGTTTGTATCCATGACTAGGTGGTAAATTCTTATGGGACAAAGACTGGTATTCTTTTTTTCTTTTTGCATTTTTGATTGTTTTAAATTTATATCCTTTTTAAAAAAATTACCAGAACTGGCATCAGGTTTACCATTTCAGGTAGAATTTTGGTACATGATTATGAAAGACTGTAATACAGTGATTTGCTCTCTCATGAGTAATCTTCATCAAGGCTATTTTTTTCTTTGCCTTTTGGTCACAATGTTTCCTTAAATAATTTCCTGTCTTTTTCTCCTGAAAACTATCTTTCCAGTTCTTATGGTCCCTATCTCTCTCCCAGTACTTTGGATCTACCTTTATTCTGTCTCCTAAATTTTTAAAAAGAGTTAATCACATAGTCACTGATCAACAAGCAATGTTTTCATTAAAAACTCATTCAGGAATAAAACCTAGGTGATAAAACTTGAATCTACACATATCATTTTTTGTTTTTGTTCTCTGCAAGGAAGCCAGGAAGGGGAATCCTTGGTTAAAAAAAGAGCATTTTGGGGGGTACATAAAGGGGGCAGGGCGCCTGTACATCTGTACCTTAAAGGTCAGTATAAGGTGGCTAAACTGGAATAGCGCCTCTAGGGCCAACCTAATGCTCACGTGGTCAACACCTGAAGAAAATTCCAGAAAGAAGACAATCACTGATTTTGAGAGGGCCCTGTTCCTCATGTTACCACCTGCTGTAGTCTATCTGCATTGAAATTCCATGGCTGGTCCTCAGCACTCTTTCCCAGTCTGGGCTGCTCTGTGTTCGGATCTATGCCTGACCGTCCACACTACACGTTGGTGGTAATACACATGGCCACCGTGTGGCAGCATTACTATCTCCGGGGGAGCGCCAGGCCATTTTCAGTGGGTGAAAGGCACCTGCACAGGAACTAGCAAGCCAGAGCACGAAGGAAACGACATTCCTCTTTCTCCCAATGGTTGCTAACCGTCATTGATTAGAATTTTGTCTCTTGATGGAAGGTGCAGCTTGGAGTATTTCTCTTGGAGTGGGGGTCACAGGCTGAGCTAGTTAGCTGCAATCCACCTCCGGCACCCACTGGGAGCATCAACCCAGCCTGGCCATGAGGAAACCCAGAGCTCTTGAGACATCACTGACCAATGGAGCTGGAATAGGAGCCATGGATGCAATCTGAAATTGTCTAGCAGCTGTATTTTAAAAAATAAAAGGAATGGGTAAATTTATTTTTTAATGCTGTACTTAAGCCAATACATAAAACATGTTATCATTATTTCCAATACTTCAGTATAATTTTTCTCCTAGACTCTGCCCTGGAAATCCAGGATGGCTGTACGCTGACAGCACATCTCAGTCTGGATTGGCCCCGTTTGGTTCTGAGCAGTCAGAAACCATGTGTGATAGGGATCACAAGATGAGATGCTGTGACTCTGGGTTGCTGGGCCCTGGGGTTCAGCTGAGAGCTCTGGGAAGAGTGACCTGGGATCCTGCACTGCTGAGAGGGCAGCCGCCTTCCAGGCTTTGCACCGAGGGCCCCCAACCCTGGCTAGAGCAGATTTCTTCCCCCACGGGAGAGTGCTCAGTTGTCATCCCCAGTTCACACAGTCGGCTGTGACAGAGGGAGGCGCAGTGGAATAAACGCTGGATGCGTGGGTCAGAACAGCTGGTGAGCAAACACAGCACCATTCATCCATCCAGATGGGACTGCGGCAAAACCCCCTCCATTCCTGAAGGAGCGTCCAACTCGAGATGATAACCAGGGTCCATGATGAAGTGGCATTTAGCAGTCACACACGTGAGTGGATGGCAAAGCAAAACAGCCTCGTATTACGCCTGCCCTAAACTGCGTATACAGTGTGGTTATGCCCACTGTTTGCTCTAATGGCTTAGGAACCCTAACAAAAATCTATTTAAAAGTTTGAAGAAAACAGAAATTAGAGCCCCTGAAACAAGATGGAGGTTGCCAACTGGAATAATTTTGTGGCAGGGAAAAGGGGAAGGGTCCCAGACCAGTGTTGATGGGAGGCCACTGTGAGGGAGCGAGGAAGCCTCCTTATGTTTGGGCAGGAAAGGCTGAGGCCAGAGGTGGGACAAGGGAAGCCCTCCTCGGGTCTACTCTCAGTGAGCACTGAAGACACACGGAAGGCTGTGGTGGTGTGGGGTCCAGATCACAATTGTGCATGAAGAGAAAAGGGCATCAGTCGGGAAGGAAAGAACTCCAACCAGTAGCGAGTTATCCTTTCAATTCAAGTGTTGTATTAGAACTGTTGACTTGCAATACAAACAAAAATGTCCTCTTTCTCTCTCCCTCCCTTTATGCACCAAGAAGAAAGGAAAAAGCGCTGGTGCTAATTCTCATACTCTCCTTGTTAGTTACTCTGTTTACATCAGTGTGTTTTGTATTAGGCTTAACTTACCAACACTTCATAGAGTTTTAAAAAAATGTATAAAGAACAAAAAGATAGACATTTTCTTCACTCACATGGAAAGAATAAAATATTCTGAACTAAGTGCTGAAAATATACCTTAACTTCTCTAAAGGAAAACAGTCTTTCTTAAAAATGAAAATAAATTGTTCTTATATGAAACTCCACATTCTTGGTGGGGAATGTCTTGCTCTAACATTGTTAAAGCCATGCAAGGAGAAAGGCACTATATTAAAATAGGAAGAAATGAAAAATTGAAAAAACTTAACCATACCATTTTCAGATTGCCACCATTTCTTTTCTCTGTCTGGTTCAAAACTTGTAATTATATTCTCAATATCGGGGCTGTTGGGCTGGGTGTGTGGGTTGTATGGAAACCGGGAGTCACAGATGAAGCACTTTTGTTCTCCCTGGAAAACACCATCATTAAAATTAAAAATAAAGAACTACAACTACTTATTGTTGATCTGAATTTAAAAACAACCTGTGTACACTATATTTATATCTTTCAATCTGGCCAAAAATAAAAACCAGAGGAAATAACAAGACATCACATTTTCCATCTGTAGGTATTTAAATACAGTAACAAATTCAATTAAAATATGACCAAGATGTTTTATAAATTTATACATTTGGGATAAAATGCAAATTTATAAAAGTAATTTTTTCTCAGAGAAGAGACAGATGTTCTGAAAGTTATTTAGAGAGATTCTTAGGGTGTACTTTTTGAGCTAGAATTACTTCCTTTAGCCAAAAATGGGATATTTGGCAAGAAATTAATGAAGCAGTTGTGTATTACATTATTTGCAGCTTTTTCCTCCCAGATTTTACTAACAGCTGTTAGTAGAAAACCTTCCCAGGGCCTAAATCATCTCATACTTAGGGACTCCTGGCACAGAGGCCGCTCCCTCCTGTTTCACAGACTGGAAGAAGGTTTTGTTTGTGAATTGAAACTGGTTTTGCTTAGGATGGATTTTCAAGGTGAACTCGCTAATCTAATGTGAACACTTGGAGCTGTGAGGATGTCCATGGGCTGTCACCAGCCCGCTCGGCGTCTTGGCTAACGCCTGTGGCACCAGGAAGTAGGGACTGTTTGTCACAGTCTTCTGTGCCAGAAATTATGCACAACAGTGCCGGGCCTCGGCCAGCAGGTCCTCAGGGAGGTTGTTTGATTCTATGTCCTCACTGTGGCTTCCAGGCCCTCCAGGGTGACCCGGGCCACTTCGCCTTTTCTCCTGCTCTGCTCCAGGTACACTGGCTTCTCAGGATCTCTCCAGCACACCAAAAACCCTCTGCCCGGGGTCTCGGCACAAGCTACTCTCCCTCCCAAATGGTCGTGTCGCTTGCTCCTGCCCTTCTCTGGGTTCCTCCCTTGACCCTATCTAAAGCGCTGTCACCTCCACACCCCACAGCCTTCTGCTCCTCTCTATCCCTTTTTCTATTTTATACATTTTCTAAATGCTCATTGCTACTGGAGACTACATCATAGAGTTGTTGACATACAGTCTGTCTCTATCATTAGAATCCAAGCTGAACAAGGACAAGGACTTTGTTTATTACTCTAACCCTCTCATCTAGAACAGTATCTGCACACAACAGCTGCTCAATAAAATGTGTCAAATGAATAGGAGATGATTTTAATGGCTATTTCAGTTGGAGTCTGTCAAAGTCAACCAACTCTTCAAGAGTTCTAATCATCAGTGCATTTTAGAATCACACGCCACCATTAGCCTTATTGTTGAATAAAACAAAGATGCTCTTTGAAAATTGAGCCAACAGATGCTGGATCAATTCTGCATATGAGCAGACTTGTCTCAGACCTGCCCTAGAAAAGCAGCAGAAACTTTGTGACTTCCTCAAATGACATCAGGTCTTTAAACTACTGCCAGTGAGCCTAGGTTTTCTCTCATTGCTGAGACAAAATAGCAGACACCAAAAGTTAAAGGGGAAAAGGTTAACTTAGCTCACAGTGTGCAGAGGTCTCAGTCTAAAATCAACTGGCTCCAGGCAGGATGGTGTGGCAGACAGGTATCACAGAGGAAAAACAGTTCGTAGTGGGCAGAAAATAGCAAAAGCAACAAGAGGGACAACCACATCCCTTTCTATTCCTTACATCTTATCCAGGCTACCGAGGGCAGGCAGCACTCACACCCTCAATCCTAGTGCCCTTGATCCTAGCACTGCACCATGAATCAACCTCAGCATCACACACCCTAGATCCAGCCAGCACTGAAAAAGCCCCACCTGTGACCACACTAGACCAATTTGGGGGCCATTTAGACACAGCTATAACACTTCTTTTGCTCTGTTCAGATAGAAATTGTGAATCGACAATGTGAAGCTCTGCTAACAGTCCTGATGTCACAGATGATACCAGTTCTGCTGTCTGCCACTGTCAGCTGCCACCTTCGGCTGGATGCTGTAGGTTGACTCCACTGGGTGCTGCTCTCTGCTGCTGGTCTTTGCTGGCCACTGGTCTCTGAAGATCTGAGTGTTTATTGCTCCTTCTTTGGGAATGACTGCTCTACCCACATTACCCAGGATAACAATCCCAAGTAAATTTACAGGACCTTTGGAGCCCACACTACCCAACAAATAAGTCACAAGCAGGTTTACAGGATCACCAAAGTGAGTCTATTTTAACAGAGCCTGTGCTGCAGCAGAGGGGAACCAGTACACAGGAGGCAGTGCCCCTGGACTAACCCTGAGAAGTGGCTGGGGAGCGGGGGCTGAGACAGCAGCCGCAGGCCTGTGTCAGTGAGGCACAGAGCTGAAAGCTTGCTATGAATGTCAGCTTTGCAGATAAGAGGCCCAGATCCCTCCCTGCTTGACCTTAACCATTCCAGGCTGCCCCCTCCTTTCTTCAAAAGACAACAGTATCATCCTGTGAAGTGGTGGCTTCGGGGCAGGGTGTCAGGCTGCCTGACTGGCCTCACTCATGTTGGAGTGGAGAATGGTGGTTTGGTTCCCAGGGAGGACGCCGAAGCAAACTGTCCTGGTCCACTGTGGGGGAAGCGGGAGCACAGGGGAGCAAGGGAAGGGATAGACTGGCTGCCGGCCAAGCCACAGCTCCCCTCCAGCTGGCAGGGGGAAAATGAGCCAGGTTCTTCTTGTCTGTCTCGAAAGTATTTCCAGTCATACTGTGAAAATTACTGGGGAAGCCATTCAGCTTGAGTCTTAGAGTCTTAGAGTCTTAGAGGATATTTTTCTCTTAACATGCCAGAAGTATACTTTTCAGTGTGGTGGCCCCAGGGATGCTCACTTGTGGACGTTAGATGTGAGAATCTCAACTTGGGTACTGTAGTGTGTCTGTGCTGGTTTGAAGCTTCGAAGAAAATCTTCTGCTTGGCAGTTCTTTCTTAAATAAAATCATTTTCTTTGCTGAATGAATTTCTATCTAGACTTATAGTTGTATCCTTACCGGTAATACTTATTAGCCTAAAATATTTTGAGGACTTTTTTTCTCCCTGACTCTAAGCTTTCGAAAATTTTTTGTCATTCTCTAAACAGAAGAAGCCTTTACTTTGATATCTGACTTAACTTTTATTTTTGGTAATATAGCTTTGTGATAAAGGCACATCAATTTCTAATTACACTCAGAGCATTGGCTCATGGTAGCAGTAAGCAAGTACCACAGGATAAAGAATAAGATGGATCGTGGGGTTAGGACATTCCTGATGCTAGAACTGAGAAGCACATCTTTGTCCAGAGGACGTGGTCTTTGTAAAGTCACGGGAAGAGCCATCCATCCCACGTAGCCAAGAGCGAGAGAAATTTCCACCATGTAATTTCCTGACACATGTAGACACTGTGCTTTCTTTCATAAGTATTTCCCAAACTTAGAACAGTGCTAAGCACCCAGGTATTGTCTCTAGTTATTTATAATCCTCATGTTTTACTAGAAACCAATTAGAATACAAGGCATTTCCCTGAGATCTAAACAAGATGCCTTAAATAAACAATACATGGAAAAGTCTGAGCCACTAACATTAGGCTTATGTTCAATTTCCTTCCTGCACATCCTCTCATGTAAGGTTGGACGCGGTGGCCTCGCTGTTTCCAGCAGGTATGATACTCAGATGACCTTGGACGCTTGTTCTGCTGCCAGGACACAGGGAGGAAAAACCCTAAAAAGCCACTCGCCCCTTTTTGAACTGGTCTCTCGGGGAAAAGGGGACAGAAATGCACTTGTATGAGAAACTTATGTTTTTTGAGATGCTGCAACTTCCAAGTGGTCTGAGTTTGATGTACAGTGAGTTCGAAGTTCTGCATCTTTCTCTGTGTAAAGCAGAGCAGTGGGGACACGTGTTCGGCACGAGGGCCTGGAGACCTTCCCTGAGCGAGTCAGTTATGTTCGCTCTATGGGAGAGACGAGGGCAGCTAAGGAGACCAATAGACTTTTAGTAATTCTCTTCAAGGCCCAAACCAGAAAGTCTTTTCTCTAAAACAAATAGAAATCATTTCCTGATTAGTTGAGTTTCCCTCGTCCAAGTAGCCTCAGGCATGCAGGAAAAATCTACCTCACTGAGTAAAGGATGTCACAGTGAGGACAATGAGAACCACCCACCTCCAGGTAGCTGAGGATGCAGTACTTCTGGGCTCTGTTCAACCCGCAGGTAGAAGACACTGTGAGCTGGGAAATGCGGCCCACGAGGAGATCACCAGGGGAAGGATGACAGGCACCCGTGTCGCATTCATCTCGAGCTTTCGAGTAACGGAGCCACCCTGAACAGAAACAGAATCAGCCACACGGAAGGCAGCCCAAGGGCAGCACCAGGCCTGAGAAGCAAACTGGCTAAGTGGAATGCGGAATTTATTTTTAATACCAGTTCTGTGGCTTTCTAAGCCTCACCTCATGGATGCTGTGAGTCCTGTAGCCTGGTGGCAAATTCCTGATGGAGATCACACCACCTGAATTCCCTGGCCTCACCTAGGCAGCCTGTAGCCAATGATGGATAGAGAGTTTGAAAGGCTGCTATGAACTCCACTGTGTGATTCATGCCCAGCACCTCCTCCTGGCATCTGGCTAAGCCGACTCCAGCTGGGACCGTGGCCTGGGTCTGTCCCCTCCACCTCTTGCTCCTGAGAGCACTCTGGATAAGTTAGTGCACATAAATCCCTGCCTCCTTTCTGCCTGAGTCAGCGTCCCTGGGAACTCTTCATGTATCATTTTAGGACAGACAATGACTAATTCATGGACAGTAGGACAAGGAATCCAAATCCTACCTCATATATCTGTGGTTCCAATCTGTACAAATTACAGAGAAGAACTGAAGAAATCTTTGGGAAATAACTTTCCTTTATAGTATATAAATTTGGTGGAATCGTTTAAATACACGGATTATTGGGTTTGGCTACACCATGGAACAAATCATGCCCCTTTAAAGACAGAGTTCTAGTTTGAATGGCAAACAGTCCATCTGGTCACCCATTTCCCTGTGGACCTGCCGGGAAGGGATGTGGTCAGTCATGAGAGAAGAGCATCCCATGAGCAACATTATCTCAACAGCACATCACCCTCTACTTTGCTATTCATGGATAGCCTCTGAGACAATATCTATAAGTCACTGCTTTAAAAAAAATTGTATTTGCTTAAAAGTAAGTTCTTGAGAAAGGGTAAGTCCCTTGGAAAAATTATAAGTGTACTAAAATTTTAGCAAACTAAGCTACTGTTAAATAGTAATAGCAAGAGTAGCAAATAATGTAAAACATGAAATATCCTAGATATTAGATAGCAAAAGGGTGAAGGAGAATTTAAGTAATTTAGAAGACAGCTGTCATTAATTGCAACAAATTTCAACACAGGGTAGACACATGTATACGTTCTTTTTAAAAATATAATGGCAAAAAAAATCAGAAGCTCTAGGCAGAAGATACGAACAGGCTATGAGTTATACATTCAGACAAAGGGGTCTTTCATTAGAGACAGAAGAAGAAAACACCACTAGCGAACTCTTTTGCTATCAAGTCACTGAGAAAAATGTAACCATAGTTCTTCTAACTTTGTGAATTACCTAGGAAGTCTTTGACTCTGAGAAACAAATTACACTGAATAAGGAAACTATTGCTTCTTTCACTTCTGAAATAAAATCATGGTTAGGTCACGGAGTGGTAAAAAATGTAGAGGTTGGTAAATAGCTGGGTATAGCTAGGCCTTCCTAGTGACTATAGTCTATGGCCATGCCCCTCTGAATGTGCCTATTTTGTTTGACCTAATGACTATATCTGGACATTTATATGTTTATTTAAAATTGGACAAAGATGCACTAAACTTTTAGTTCAGTAACATGTGATGAATGCTCCTGTCTTGGCTTGGTGGGTGGCATTAACTGTGATGACTCTTGAATTTAATTTATTCAAATTACAGATTTGAACTAAAGATAAGTGCTTCTAAAATGTGTTGAACTGAACCTTAATCCCCAGGATTCTCCAACAAAAAGGATGGGAGAACAATAAATTTGAGAGACAGTGCATCCCAGCTCTCTCTTTTGGATATTCACACTGTATACCAGCACATTACAGCCCTGAAAAGTCCTTCTGTTAAAAACAAAATGCAGACCAAGTATCTTTAAAGCTGATTCACCTAGCATTTCCTAAATTTATTTCATGGAGAGCACTTTTTATTCAACTCATATTATTATTCCTTGCAAAACTAGGAAGATATTTTGGGAAATGTTAAGCACAATTTTATTTAATCTAAATCTTCCAGCCTAAAACACTCTGGCAGTGGTGGCTTGCTATATCTTACTTGGAGACTGGATGTAAAGATAAATTTTAGGAATTAAGATATAAATTAAGTGTAATCAAAATTATTCTGGAAATTTTCATAAATTGCCTACATAGTACAGCATACATGAATTTGTGTACCCAAACCTAATATTTGAGAACCACGAAGTTAAAAAACGTAAAAAAGAAAAATCAATGTACAAATGGTAGAACATTTGAATCATTCTAAGTAAAGACAACTGTTAAATTTCCTTGCATATGGTGGGGCAGGGTAATCGGAACTATTTATTGTCTGGAAGACTTTCTCCATTATGTTATACACTAAAGTTTTATAAGCAATAACATAACAGGTTTGTTTGTTGTTCGAAAGATTGACTAAAACAAAGTAGAATTTTACTGGAGGTAAACTCCAAAATTAATAGACTTAAAATGAGTGCTTAATTAATAAGAATCTACTGTAACATTTTGTGGGTAGCTATTTATAGAAATAATTGTAGTTCTTCCTTTGCAAAGTATATTTGAACAGGACAATATAGTATAATTGCTAATTTAGTTAAAGGGTTAGAATCTTGCTTAACTTTGGAGGCCAAAATTTAGGCACTGTTTTTCTCTTGATTCCAGTTCAAATTATATACATGATAAATTTGCAGAAATAAAATGACATTCAGATAGACAATATGGGACTTAGCAGCTAAAAAAAATTTAAAAAGAAGAACAAAGGAGAAAGAATCACTTGATCTGACACTACAATCTGCTACTTAGCCACAGTAAATGGAACAGTGCGACAGTAGCAAAGCAGATGTGCTCTGGCCAACAGACCAGAACACAGAGCCCAAAAGTACAGCCAATCAAATATGGCCAAGTGATTTTTGAAGTGCAAAGGCAACTCAACAGAGCAAAGACAGCCTTTTCAATAAATGCAGTAGTAATCAGATAGCCATAAGCAAAACCATGACCTCCCACCCAAATTTATGCCTCAGATAAATATTAACTCAAAATGGATCTTGGGCATAAATGTAAAATTATAAGGCTGCAAGACGTAAGAGGAAATCTTTGGGTGTTAGGGGTAGGCAAGGGAGTTTTAGAATTTATGACAAAAGCACGATCTATAAAAGAGAAAAGTGGACATTTTCAAAACTAAAGAACTTTTGCCCTGAGAGGGACCTTGTGAAAAGGTGAAAAGGAGAGTTACAGACTGAGAGAACAGAATAGTAAACCACATATACCATTATAAAGCCATTATACCTCCAATATTTAAAGAGCTTTCAGAACTCAACACGAGAAACTGGTCAAATGAGAAAATGGCAAACAACACGAAGAGACATTTGACTGAAAAAGACATACCTAAGGCAAATAAGGACATGAAAAGTTCAACATCATTAGTCACTAGGGAAAGCCAAACAGCAATGAGGTATCATTAGACAACTATCAGAATGAGTAAGATAAAAAATAGTGATAACTCCAGACATTTGAGAGGTGTGCAAAGACTGGACCCCTTATGTCAAGGGTAATGGGCACTGTGGAAAGTATGGTACTATTTGTAGTTTCTTACAGAATTAAGCTTATCAAATAACCCAGCAATTGTATTGCTAGTTATTTACACCAAAGGAGTGATAACTTATGTTCACACAAAAACCTGCATACAAACATCAAAATGCTGGCAATCACTCAGATGTTCCTCGGCAGGTGAGCGGTTAAGCAGAGTGTGGTACACAGAAGAGTACTTAGCAACAAGAAGACCAAACTATGGATAAGCAGGGACACCAGCAATCACATGGGTCAGTCTCAAAGGGATTGTGCTGACTGAAAAAAGTTATATAATGCATAATTTCATGTATATCCCTTTTTTTTTCCTTTTGGTACCGGGAATCAAACTCAGGTCCTTGTGCTTGTGAGGCAGATGGTGGCCCCACTGAGCGAAATCCCCAGCCCTTGTATATGCCTTTTTTGAAAGACAAAATTATAGAGATGGAGAAGAGATCCATGGTTTCAGAGGTTAGACAAGCAGGCAGGCAGGGAGGGAGCAGCCGTAGCTATGCAAGGGAAGTACTAGAGATCCTTGAGGTGATGAAACACCCGTATCTTGCCTGTGGGGATGGCTACCCAATTCTATATGTGTGGCAAATCTGCACGGAATGAAACACACATATGTGAGTATATGCAAAACTGGTGAAATGTGAATAATAGTCACGCAAGATGTTGCCATTAAGGGAGACTGGGTGAAAGGTATATGCTGTATTATTTCTTACAACTGTGTGTGAACTTATGGAGATTTTAAACTTTAAAAACATAAGCAAACAACTCTCTTCCCCCAAAACTACTCCATTGGCCTTTACCTTGTGAACCAAATCAACCTCCCTCTAAAACAGTATGTGCATGACTTATTCCTGTTGGTCTTATATGCCTTTCCCTTGAGATGTGAACATTTATGCCAAGCCTTTATTTCAGTAGACAGGAGAGGGGTGGGCCTGAGACGAAAAACACAAACCATGTTGTGAAATTAAGTTTTGTTTCTCCTCAGATTTATTAATTGTAAATTATAAAGAAATACTTTTGGGCTAGGGATTTAGCTCAGTGGTTCCGTTGCCTGCTTTGGAAGCACAAGGACCCGAGTTCAATCCCCAGTACCAAAAAAAAAAAAAAAAAAAAAAAAAA